TTATATTATATACTGGGCTCCACATAAGATTTCACTTGACAAGGGTTCCTTAAGAAAGTTTTGAAAACCATTGGTCTTACCCAACATTTTCATTATTCATGTGGGAAAACAGAGACCTAAAAAGGGGAAGGGACCACACACCTCACTCCTGGCTCAGTGTCCTGACTGGGAGGTGACCCGTCCCAGGCCTTGAGCCAGACCAGGGTGGGCAGATGAGGCTCAACCCTGGGATCAGGAGTGGGTTCAGCTCAATGGAGTGGGGATGAAGATAATCCTGAGCTCCCCAGGCCTGAACCTAGACATCACCCACGGCCGTTGGCTGACCTCGAACACCCGTGCATGGAGTCCTGCTCCCGATACTGTACCCAAAAAACAGCACTGCCCTGGCCAGCAAAGGCCTTGGTCCCCCACCTCCCAGAACCAGCAGAGGCTACAACAGCCTCTAAGCACTTCCGCAGTGGGCAGGACATCTCCGTGCACTCTGAGCTGGTCTTGCCAAGGTTCCCATACCCTCGGAGATGGAGAAATTGGATGGTCCAGAGAGGACCACACCGGAGCAAGCCCACAGTTGCGGGCTGCCCGCCGCCGTCCTACACACAGTCCAGAAAGCAGTCCCACACTGGAGACTACTCAGGCCCACACCTCCCAGACAGGCCTTCCACTCACGAGCAGCCGACACACGTGAGCTCACAGCACGCCAGTTCAGAGTTCCCTCCTGCCTCCCTCAGCTCCTATAGAAGAAACCCAGTTCCAAATCTTCTACTGCTGAGCCCTAGTGCCTCTCCCGAGGCCACCTGTGGGCACAAGAAAGAAGTGTCTTGGCTCTCCTTCCCAGCCTGAAACAAGGCCAGGGGTGCTGGCTCAGAACGTGACTCAGACCCTTCTTGATGATCCACGCATGGAAGAGCGAATGGCCCCTGGTACTAGGTGCCACCACAGACAGCCCTGTCACCGGAAGTCCCTCCGTTCTGCCCTTCCTGCAGCGGCAGACAGGCTTTCTCTAGGCCCGTTCACTGGACCTGATGAGTGCCTGAAAGCTCAAGGGGCTGTCCACAGGGTCGCCCAGATTTTTTTCTGGGCCCTTTGACTCCCCTGGTCATCCTCAGATTTGTAGATGTCCAAGCCCCTCATTCCAAACAGACCCTCAGCTCTTCGAGAGTGAGCGATCGGGTCTTGGTCGGTTCTGGAACCCTTCACCAAAGATGGGCCCTGATACAGAGGAAGTGCCCGGTAAATGTTGAACTGGTGTGTACACCTTCAGGGCCACCAAGGGGGTAGGGAGGTTAAATGAGGGGGTCATGATCCCCTCACACCCCCCTGTCCTCTGTGCTTACCTCTTACAAGTGTGTGATAACTGTGCTGTGCAGATTATGACCAGCTGGGAGTTAATGTCAGCATCCCCCACCTGGTTAGCTAGTGAGCCATAGAAGCCAACTTGAGTAAATACCCACTCGTTTTCTTTACTTTTTTTTCTGATAGACGAAGTAGATTGGCCTTTGTATTCCTCCCGTAAGGGGAGGGGGAAGGAAAAAGAAGAGGGGAGTGAGCTCCGCCGTGTGCTCACAGCTCTTGGGCCCGGCCTCTGGAGTGATTGTGTGTGGCCACCACATTCCAGGCGTTCGTGGGGTGTTTGTGTCCTCACCCACCTACCACAGGCTCTCCCCTCCTGGTCACAGGCACCCCCTCTCCCCTTGATACCCCCACCACCTTCAGTCCCAGAAGGCCATCAGGCCAGGAGGCCAAACTAGATGAAACTGTGCCTGCAAAGGTGAATCAGGGCCTGGGGCTCAGAGGAAAGCAAGCCTTCCACCCTGCCCCCAGGCACCTGCCACTTCCAAAGCAAGACCTCGTGATGGATAGAAATTGGGAGTTGGAAAGTCAGTCAGGAAGTGGTGGGACCATAGAGGGAGGGAGTTCCAGGTCCTAAGGTGCATGTGTGTGACCGCTACGGGCTCAGGCTTACAGAGCAACTGAGGCACAGAGGTGAGAGAAGAGGAGAGGTGGCCAGGAGTGGGGCAGGGGGCATGCTGGCCAATAGAAGGAGCTTCAGTTTCCCTCCTAGGGCAACAGGTGTTCAGGAAGGAGAGTGAGGTGGCCAGATGTGTGTGTAGAAGGTTTGAGCAGCCTGTGAAAAGCCCCCCTCTGTCATACCCATGGCGCATCATGAAGGAGGGCAGGAAGCCACGTCCTGAGGGTCCTGGGATTCAGGATGAGCCTCTCTAGTGTTCCTATCTATTCCGCTCCTGCCCCAAGAAGGCCCCAGTTAGCTTGAGACAGCTTCACCTGAACTCTGGAGTCAAGCCTGACTGGGTTAAAATCTTGGCTTCTGTCTTTCATTGGCTGTGTGGCTTTGGGCCAGTTGCTTTACCTCTCTGCACCTGTCCTCTAGCTCCAAAATGGGCAGAGTGAATTACTGTGGGCTGTCATTAGACAATGTTTCCCAGCTGCCCCCGGCGCAGCAGATGCTCAGTGTATGTCAATCCCCTTTCCCCATTAGCTAGTGTGTCCTGGAAAACCTACATTGTAAATGGCTTTCTGTTAAGTCCACTTGAGTCCACCAGAGAGGCACTTCCTCCAAACTGGATCCCAGGTAGAGTGAACGTGACCTTCCCTGCAGCAGCTGAGGCTGTTTGGCTCCCACATCCTGATAGTTATGAATGGCTGTGACATACACAGTGTGCTCTGGCAGCTCTATGGCCACGTAGCCCCTTGGGCAGAGGCCTTACTGTACTCACTGCTCCACCGACCCCCAGCCTGTGGTTCCCGGACCACACAGGATGGAAGTTGAGGCAAAGGCTTTGAGGGGACAAGGAACAGTGAGATGAGAATTCAGCATCCACCTTCGGCCTCCCACCTGCCCATCTGACGGCTGACTCAGGCCATGCTGGGGGCATCAAGGGAACTGAAATGGGAGAGAGACACCCACTTGTTTCTGGCCCTGGGAAGATCATTCTCTGTGGACCTCAGCTCCTCATCTGTAAAAGGCTCGGAGGTTGACTACCATGATCATTAGATATTTTCCCACCTGAATATTCCTGGATTCTCCAATGGATAAGGAAAGGATAGGAACCCCCAATCCCCACTCTATCCCCCATGAGAAGCCGAGTGAATAATCGTCACAAATCAAGACCCCTGAGGGAGGGCTCCTCCCCTTCAAGATGCCTCCAGGCTGAGAGAGATGCACGGGTGGTCCCACCAGCTGAGCCAGCAGGGTGCAGCTGGGTAGGGCACCCTGCCTCTGCCACTATCAGATTCAACAATGGCCCCAGGAGGGAGGTGACTGAAAGGTCTGCACGGGGGCTGGGAGCTCGGACATGGCCAGATTCAAGGAGTCATCAAAATGGCATGACTCACACAGAAGTTTCCATGTCAGTGAACCCCCTAGAGTATGTGCTTGTTTTAGGGTCAGGTTCTTGTATGCCCCATCCCTTCTGAGAGCTGCCTCCCCTCCCCAGACCCAATGGGATCTGCAGAGGCGGGGGCCAGAGCAAAACTTCTTCCTTAAGGCCTGGTTTTTTTCCCAGCGGGAGGACAGCCAGCACCTTGCTATGTCGTCGAGACCAGAAGAGCGAGGGTTCAGGTTCACCCCACCCCAGCCCCGCCACAGCAGGCCCGATCACAGGCAGAACCAAATCACGACACTGCCCAAGGCAATAAAAACCCAAACCCGTGCTTCATCTCAAAAGTCAGCTTTTTATTATTGAGGGCCAGAGCCCAAGGAGGGGAGGGTGTTGAGCTAAAGCAGCATTGCTCTCTTTCCAGGAAATGTTTCGAGCTGCAGTGAAGGCTCGAGATGTTGCATTTTTTTTTTTTCAACTCAAGCATGTGTTTTTCAAAAATATCATCCTTCCCCACCCCCCACCCCACCACTAATTTTAGAATCAGACCAAAGCCAAGCTACTGTCCTCTGTTTCTGTTGGGAAAATACTATATTTATTCAAGATGCAGAAGTGGGTCTCTGCAAACCTCCAATTGCTTCAGGAAAACAAATCTGCTTTAGACTATACAGAAACCATGATACAAAATTTATTTCATGCTAGAATCGCTTTGCATAACATTGGGCATGCAGTTTTTTACTCTGAAGTACTAAATTGCATACAATGCCAGGTTGTGCCTTAATAAAGGTGGAGGAGGGCCACCCCTCCTGTGGTCCTGATCTTTTGGTGCTCTAAAGTAACACTTGGAAAATCCATACGGTGTTATTTACTATGAACAATTTGTAATGAAAGCTGGTCACACTGGATCTACACACCGAGAAGATGATTGAATCAACCTAGACTAGCCGCTGTCAAGGGTCTTGGGGAGACGTCCGCTGGGTCACAAGCATGCCAGACAGAGAGGGAAGAAAGCAGCAGTGCGTGTTTCCACAATTCTATTTGGAGCAAAGTTCTCAGTTTCCACGTGAGAAATGAACTATGAAGGTGAGGTCAATATGACCGATGACTGACCGACTGCCCTTTTTGGAACCTTGACTCTCGATCTCGTGTACAAAAAGGGAAGCCATCCATTCCCCATCCCCACCCCTCCTCCCACCCCCAGAAATGTACAGGTTTCTACCGAACGCCGTTACAGTCTGGCTCCAACAACGTGTGTAATAAAAGTAAAGAGCTTTGAAAGAAAATAGAGGACTTTTTCCTTTTTCTCGTCGTTGTTGTTGTTTAGGGTGATCATTACAGTTGCAGGGGGGTTGGTGGGTTTGGTTTGCTGGGTTTTCTGTTTAACTTCATGCAAGTCATGCTAAGGAACCCCTCCACCACCCTCCCCAAATAAAATAAAATTAAAAAAAAAAAGAAAAAGGAAAAGAAGGAAAAGAAATCCTCTACGGTCAGTTACCATTTGGCCGTAGAAAAAGCTACGTCCGTCCTAGTACAAGACCTGGGCCACTCGGACTCGTCCGGCAAACCTGCATGGCGTGAATTTACTCTGTCCGAGGGTGAGGAGGGGCTGCTGGTCCACCCAGATGCTTAATAGCCACCAGTGTCCTCGGCCAAGCCGCCTGGTCAAGTCACTCTCACAGCCTCTGTCGGCATATACTTAGCAATGACAGGGCTTTCTTTGCAAAGATCTGTATGTAAAGAATACAATTAACACTTGAGCTTCTCTTCTTGGCTTTCCCATCCCGCTTGGTACTTAGTTTTTAAGGAAGGAAGAGGAAAGACAGAACAGCCGCATGCAGAGGCAGGCAGATTCTTCTCCAGCGGGCTTGGTTTTCCCATGCAGTGAGCCGGCCCAGCACGCCTCTCTTTCTCCCTCTTGGGGACCGGGTTGAGTCCCTAACTCTCCTACTCTGCATGTGGCTTGTGCACTGGAATTATCCTGAGAAAATCAAGTCCTCGGCGCTGTCATGGCTCCATGAGAGCAGGGCCGGGTGGATGTGGGTGGGGGCACTTCACCCTTGGTGCCTCCCAAACACTCTGGCCCCCCACGCCTCTGTGGGACTGGGGAGCAGGTACCACCCGTGGACAGTGGTTGCCGCCGAGCTCCCTTGGCCACTACAGGGAGATGGGGCTTCTTCCGTCCCACACTCCCTGGGCTTCTGGAAAGAGACTCTCTCTGTTCTTTTAGGCCACACAGATTGATCCAATAGTGAAGTTGAAAGAGACAGGCAGCCCATGAGACCTTACCGGGCAGAGCACAGCCACAAAGTCTACCTGCTTTCCCCCTCACTCCCCTGGGCTGCCCCTGCTCCTGGTATTCTAGAGCCTCTACCCAGGAAAAAGCCAGGTGCAAAAGGGAGCATCAGGCCTATCCATGGAAGGTGCCAAGGATGGGCCCACCCCAGGCCCGCAGCCCTCCACCATGCAGCACCATGCGGGCAGCGGTTTGCCGCACTGGGGTCCGAGGGACCTCCAGGCAGGGCAAGGAAGCAGGGACCAGACTGGATCAGGTGGGCACACTAAGCACCAGTGACCAGAAGGACTTCCCCATCTCAGTATAGGCTGCCTCTCCTCTTCTGGGTTGGGTTTGCCCTTTATTTGGAATTCTGTGTTCTCTCCTTGTGTATTGTTGGACCACTTCAAGTACTGGAGCAGTTGTGAATGGCCACAGTCTACACCAACTATTGCTCTAAAAAACCAACTATCCCTCGGGCCCAGCCTGCTCACTCTGGTCAGCATGCATCCCGTGTGAGCATGTGAGGCACTCCCAGACATGCACGAGTTGCCCAGCCAGCCCGATATGTCAAGGATGGCTTCCTCTACCTTCCAGGCCAATGCCTGAAGCCTGGGGCTAGGGTGCTCTGGGCCCCTGCCTCAAGCTTCTCTCCAGCCCATGCTCAAGCTCTAGTAGAAATCTTTTCCCCAGGAGGTCAGCCTAAGATAAGGGTCTGCTAACAAGGAGACCTTGAACAGAGGCCACTATGGGGCTCAGCCTTCACCAACCACAAGGGGGCGCTGATCACACCCGGGGCGGTGACCAGGGAACAAAGGTGCTGCACTGGGTGGTGCTTCACCTTCTTGGCAAGTTCTCTGACTGCCACTAGCAATATTCTGACTAGCACACATCTTACCTCTGCAATGACATTGGTCTCACCCCCAAGCCCTGAAGCCACCTCTCTTCATGCCTCTCCTCCCACTGGCCTACAGATTCTCTTTAAATGGTGCTCTTCCAGAACATGCATCCCTGGGTGGCTACGTCCACAGGGTCCTGGCCAGGCCAGGCCCACCCCACTGCCCTCCTCAACCAAGGGACAGGGGAGATCACTTTGCTTTCTGGGTCTCACCTGCCATCTGCCAGAGCAGCCTGGAGGAGTCGAGACTCCTCCCACATCCCCGGGTAACACCCTGCCTTAGGGTCACAGCCCCGTAGTCAGCCAGCCCATTCCGGCACCCCTTCCTTTCCCCTCGGGCTCAGTCCCAACCCACAGCTGCCAGGACCTCAGATTCTCTGCCAGCCTGACATCCTACTTGGGAGAAAAGGACTCAGACCTCCAAGGGCCAACCCTGGGGGGGGGGCTCCTTCTGCACCTTGCCCCCCCTCAGCGTGCCTGCCTGCCCCTCAGCACCCCTCGCCCGCCGCCCCACCCGCCCATCTGCAGGAGCGCGAGGCGGCCCAGCTGATGCAGAGTGCCCCCCGCCTCCTCTACATACCCTTTCTCATTCCTCCACCAGGTGGGCACGCGTACTCCCCGGTTGATAAGAGGAAGCAGGGTCCGTATCTCTCGCGGGTGCCCGAGCGAGTAAAGGGCAGGCCCTCATCAGGAGTGAGGGCCTGGTCTATGTGGGGGCAGTCTTCGTTCGCCAGCGCGGCCTTCGCCACCTCCCCATTCAGTTTGGAATCTTCAAACATATAAGCAGAAGCTATTGAGACACTGAAAACTGTTTAGTGGGGGAGGGGGACAGGCCAGAGGTGGGGCATTGGCAAAGGGCAGTCTGTCCCTGAGGACAGAAAAGTGAGTGGACCATGGAGGGAGGCAGGAGGCTGGGGGTCCCCGGCTCATTCAGGCAGCCTATGGGCTGCCCACAGTGCAGGGAAGGAGGGGGTCCTGGGTTTGCTCAAAGTTTGCAAAAAGATGAGTTAGTGATGGGTCCAGCAAGTGCGGTGCTGGGGGCCTGGCCCAGGGCCCAAGGCAGGGCCGATGAGACAGGATGGTGTGGATGCGTCATGGGTAGGGGGCCAGACACAGAGCTCAGGGAGAAGACAGACAAACACGCAGAAAACTCCAGTCCAGAGAGGTGGCCTTTGCAGACCTCTCTCTCCTGCTGACCAGAGCCTGGCTGCCTCCCGTCCACATCTAGCTGGCTTCTCAAGGCTTCCCTAGCCCCATCTAGACCCATCAGTCAACTCCACCCCACCCCCATCGGGATCCCACCGCATCACACCCTTCACGCTGTCCTCCACACACACCCTATCTCATCACTCATCCTGCCCCGACCTATTTGGATTCAACCTCGTCACTCTGCGTGCCCCACCCCCTGTACACACCAAACCTGGCCACACAGTCTCCTCTGTCCCCAGACTCACTTTGGTCACTCTGTATGCCCCACCCTCCATGCAGGCTAGGCCTGGTCACAAAGTCTCCTCTGTCCCCAGACTCACTTTGGTCACTCTGTATGCCCCA